CAGGATATGATCTATTTTGATAAATGTTCCATGTGCATGTGATAAGAATATGTATCCTGCACTTATTGGGTACATGTTCTATAAGTGCCAACTAGGATGACATTGCTTATTGTTTTGCTCAAACTTCTCATATTCTTTTTAAAAAATATTTACTCATTTTAGAAAGAGAGACTGTGTGTGTGTGAATGTGGAGGGAGGGGCAGAGAAGGGAGAGAAGCAGGTTTCTTGCTGAGCATGGAGCCCCGTGCAAGGCTCACGCTCATGACCCTGAGATCATGAACTGAGTGGAAATCAAGAGTCAGATGTTTACCTGACTGAGCCACCAGGCTCTTCCTTCCTATATTCTTAATGATTTTTTGTCTGTCTCATACCATCGGTTGCTGAGATTGTTTTTTAAAAATTTTATGTTTGACTAAGATTGTGGATTTTATTTTTTTCTTTAGTTCTGTCAATTTTTTGCTTTGCACATTTTAAGACTACATTATTAGATCCCAGAAATTTTATTTATTTGTTTAGAAAAGATGTATGTATTATTTGAGAGAGAGAGGGAGAGAAAGAGTGTGAGCAGGGTCGGGGGAAGAGGCAGGGGGGAGAGAGAATCTCAAGCGGACTCCTTGCTGAGCTGAAATCAATGGTTGGAGGTTTAACTGACTGAGCCACCCACGTGCCCCAGATCATAGAAATTTTAAATGATTACATCTTCCTGGTGAACCACACCTTTGATCACTGTGAAACATCCTTCTTGGTCTCTAGTAATGCCCGTCTTAAATTCTTCCTTGTCTGAAATCAACAAATACCTTTAATCAGTGTCTGTGATTGTGGCAGTTTGTATTTCTCCAAAACGGCCCTGCTATTTCCCATCTTGCTTCTCTTCAGTGTGACGCTGGTACTCCTGTAATGCTGGCAGAATTTATGTTGCCTCCTTTTGAACCTCTGGGGTCCTGTACATGACCCCTGAGGCTAGGTCATGAAACTCAGTGCATGTTTGCCTTGTTCTCTTGGATGCTAACCCTTGGCATTTGGCTACTGGGCTATGAGAAAGCCCGAACTGGAGAGCCCATAGGAAAAGATCACGTTAGGTGCTCTAGCCAACAGCCTGGCTAAGGGCTGGAAATGAAGTGTCATACTTGTGAAGAAGCCACTAGGCTACCAACCCTCAGTTGTTGAGTCATCCTTCTTCTTAAGTCTTCCTGGGCCGAAAGTCTTTCCAGCTGGGGCCCTAGACATCTTGGAGTAAAGACGTGCCACACTTCTGTACCTTGTGAGGTTCCTGATTGTGAACATGAAACAGTGGTTGTTTTATGCCACTAGGTTTTGAAGGTACAAGAGCAACTTTAATTGGAACAGTGTAGTATAGGTTTTCTAGTCTTTGTTAATCTTTGTATATCTCTCTCTTTTTTAAAATTTGAAGTAGGATCCATACCCCGTGTGGGGCTGGAATTCATGACCATAAGATCAGGAGCTGCCCACTCCACTGACAGAGCCAGTCTGGTGCCCCTCATATATCTCTATTTCTTAAGGTGTGTCTCTTGTAAACAGCATGTAGGCTTTTTAAAAAACACTAACTCTGACAATTGGAGTATTAGCTTAATATTTTTTTAAGATTTTATTTATTCATGAGAGATACAGAGCAAGAAGCAGACACATAGGCTGAAGGAGAAGCAGGCTCCCTGTTGGTGAGTCCAAAGCAGGACCCTGGGATCACACCCTCCGTCAAAGGCAGATACTCAACCACTGAGCCACCCAGACATCCCAGTTTAATACTTTTAATTGGAGTATTTTTATTATGATTTTATTATGCTTTAAATTGGAGTATTTCATTTCTATTAGGTTTAAAGTAATTATTTCCACACTTGGGTTTAAATCTACCATCCTACTCCTCTCTTATCATTTGTTATGCTTCCTCTGTACTCTTTTTCTCTTCTTACTTGCCTTCTTTTGGGTTGATCATATTTTAGCTTTGCATCCTCCCCTCATTTGCTTGTTAGTTATACTTTATGTTGTAGAACTTCTAACAATTATGCTATAAATGCACAACACACCTCCTGGACTTCCCATTCGCATTTAAAGTTTCAGATACATTCTGCAGATAATAGCTTAAGCTTAGATAGTAAAGTATGCAGACAAGGAGGCAAAGAAAGAAATCAAGACAGAAAAATTGTATCTAAGAAAGAACTTCATGTGTGGTTTCTGACACGTGAGGTTGTCTGGTCTATATCCATCAGAAACCTATTAAGTTTTTTTTTTTTAATGTATATTTTTCTGTTGGAGTTCGATTTGCCAACATATAGTATAACACCCAGTGCTCCTCCCATCAAGTGCCCCCCTCAGTGCCCGTCACCCAGTCACCCCATCCCCCCGCCCACCTCCCCTTCCACTACCCCTTGTTCGTTTCCCAGAGTTAGGAGTCTCTCATGGTTTGTCACCCTTTCTAATTTTTCCCACTCATTTTATCTCCTTTCCCCTATAATCCCTTTCACTATTTTTTATATTCCCCGTATGAATGAACCTATATAATGATTGTCCTTCTCCAATTGACTTTCTTCACTCAGCATAATACCCTCCAGTTCCATCCACGTTGAAGCAAATGGTAGGTATTCATCGAGAAACCTATTAAGTTTTTGAAGGGATCCTATTTTCAAAGAATCCAGGGTCCTTAAAAAGCCTTTGGCTGCTTTCAGCCTTAAACAACCCTCGGGCCCCCAAATTTCCATAATCAGGACTAGTCTATGAAAGCTATATAGCCTTTAAGGAAAACACACTCTCTAACCTCAGATCAGATGTGGCTCTAGAGGATAACAGACAAGGAAAAAGGCCCAGAGGGTGGAGCTAGAGGCCACCGAGAACAGCACTAGGGAATGCAGCCCTGAGAGTCAAATCAAGGTTAAATCTAGGAGATCTTCCCGCCTCTCAGGCAAACATGCTCATTAATTATATGGGCTGATGACTGCTATGCCTCCCACTCCTCCTTTTATCAAATGGGAGCTTGTTTTGCAAACAACCAGGTGCTGCACTCTGACCTGGACAAGAGGATGCATACCCTCCAGAGAACCTAGCTTTTTTTTTTTTCTTTCAAGTTTCCTTTTTTTTTTTTTTTTTTTAAGATTTGATTTATTTATTCATGAGAGGCACAGAGAGACAGAGGCAGAGATACAGGCAGAAGGAGAAGCAGGATCCTTGAGGGGAGCCCAATGTGGGACTCGATCCTGGGACTCTGTGTTCACACCCTGAGCTGAAGGCAGACTCTCAACTGCTAAGCCACCCAGGCGTCCCTCTTTCAAGTTTTAATTTAAATTCTAGTTAGTTTACATACAGAGAACCTAGCCTTTGAACTGCATGTAGCAGTTGGTAAACTGCTTTTGGGATTGTCTCCCTTGGGAGTTTCATGAGTGGGGGGAAAAAGGTAGCATGAATATTAACTGTCCACAGAGGAATACTGTGGCTGAGACTGCTATGTATTAGCAAACCCATTTCCTCTTTCCTGGACTCATGGACCTCATTTCCCACCCTCCCTTATAAGAAAGCATGGCTTTGCTGAGTTCTAGCCAATGGAAAATGAGCAGAAGACAAATAGCCATTTTCAGGCCTGGCCCATAAAAACCTCCCGAGAGATTCTTTATTCTCTTCCCATTTTGTCTTGATGCTGATGAGCACAGTAACTTTAGCAGCCTGCCTTAAAATGGAAGATCTACAGGACAGAAGGAGCCTCAGTTCCTGGATTACTGCTCAGATACCTGTTTTGGCATTTATTTGAGTGAGAAAAAAATACCCATTTGCTAAAGCAGCTAGCATTACGCTAACTACTACACAAAGCCATCCATCACCTACCTCGATCACACACAAAACTATCTCTGCCTTGCCTGGTAGTGTAGAGAGGGGAGGGATCCATTTTAGAAACTCTATCCTGATAGGTTTTCTGAGTGGGAACATAATGCTGAATTTTAAAGGAAAAATCTCCAACATTTGGACAAAGTGTCCTGGCCAATGAGTGATGAATTTCATTCCATTGGGGAAGCCTTTCAAGCTCTGAGAAGCAAGAGCCAGCAAGACCCCAGAAGGACTTCAGAAAAGTGAAGTCAAACAGAAATCATAGATATTTTGAAGTAAAGTTATCTTAAGTTATCTTAGTTGGGTCTTTCCTTCCTTCCTTTTTTTTTTTTTATACATAAGGAGACATAGGCTCAAGAATTAAAGGGATTCTTCACATAAATTTGGTGACAGAACTAATATTAGAAGTCATGTCCTCTACTTTGATTTATGGCAGAAGAAAATAGATAGGCACACATCCCTATTGCTTCAGCAGGCAAGTAAACATTTCTTTGATGTCTCATGGTTTTTCTTACAATTTCATGCAAATTTTCCAATCTACCTCATAATACACCCTCAATAACGTTATGTAAAGAAAAAATTTAAATTATGTGTCATATAATAAAGAGGACTTTCCAGGAAGACACACCGTGTTGATCGACCCCCCGGGCACATTGTCAGTTACCTTAAGGTTTGCGCGTATCTCAGTTTGAAAGACACAGCTTGATCACAGATGCAGAATTATCTTAGTACCAGGGCCTGATCTTATGCCTCTTCCTGTCCTGATGCCTCCCATGCAGTCTGTGGTCTAGCATCCTCATATTCAGCCTCAATCCTAGTGAGTCAAGCATCACTCTCCAGGTAGGCCTATCAGATTCCTAGGTTCTGGTCCAGCATCACTTCCTCCAGGAAGCTTCCTATGGACCCATCCAAGTCCAACTTTCCCTGGCCCACCCTGCACTAGACCTGAGGCATACTGATTCTAGCACTTACAATGCCACATCACAATGTAGTCTGTCTGCTTATTTGCCTCTTCCAGCAAGTATGACACATAAAAAATAATCAATATATTTGTTAAATGAATGAACTTAATATGGTGACTGTAGGCTCCCTGGGGCCCATATCTCATCCTGCTCCCCAGCCCACTCCTGCTGTGGCTGCAGGGGTAGGGAGCACAACAAGTATACACTTACTGGCTGGGGGAGGGGCTCCGGAGGTACTGGGCCTGCACGGCCCTCACATTGGCTTCATCCTCTTCACTTGGGACTACCTGCTCCTCCTCTGGGTCCCCACTGGTCGCCATGACAGCCTGCAGTCCCTGTAAGTTTGGCATGAGAAAGGTGGTTAGGAAATTAGCTTCTGGAGGTTTTGTGGGGAGAAGGGGTATATTAGTGATGTCAGGGGGGAAGGTCACCACATGCTACTACTTTGGTGGGGAAAGGAACCACGGGGGAAAAACCCAGTCTAACTTGGACCAGCTACTGTTAACCAGGATGCCAAGACACACACCTCAGCCATATAAACTGTCTACCTTAGAGTCACATTATTTAAGAAATGAAAACTTGGCTCCTTCCTCAGATTCCAGTAAGGAAGCAGAGAGGGGACTGGGGTCCTGGGTTTACATTAATATAGCTAAACTAGTTGGAAAGCACTGAATTCCCTAGATCAGAAAGGTCTTTTTTGAAACTCCTAGGTGTACACACACATATGCACACGTGGGGACACATATATAAGCACACACCCCACCTGCACACAGGAATACACCTTTCCTTCTGTTGGGGGGAGGTGCAGCAGCTGGCCTTCTTCAGTATCTTTAACCAAGGCCACAGGAGTCATTACCTTTGACTCAGGCACCATCCCACAGCCTATTAAAGAACATGAAATCCCTCAGGAGCTGGTCCCACACATGGCTGGGCCCTGACACTCGAGGCAGCCCGCCCTTCTACTTATAAGTCTTGGATTCACAGGACAAATTGAAGGGAAAAGCACACTCACCACTGGCTTGCCTGTACCTCCACACCAAAGGACAGTCACCCAAGGGCTCAGGGACCCAGATAAAATGGCCAAAAGTTCTGACTAGTGAGAGGGAACAACCTCTCTCCTCTCTTCAGTGCTTCTTCTCTGAGGGGCAGGACAGCTGTTAACAGGAAATCTTAGCTACCTTCTAAATTTAGCCTCTGGCCCCACAGCCTGGCAGATCTCTAGGAGGAAGGAATGCAGTCTCAGGACCCAGACCTGAAAGCAGGCCCCACTTAACTCTTTCCCTCCTGGCAGATTCTCTGGACGCTGGATACTACCAAGGAGCAAAGTTAGGAGGTCACATTCCATTGACGGAGAGACCTAAAGAAAAGGGTTTTGGGGGGCTTGCTCTCTATACTCTCCTGCCTGAGGCTACCTATTCAAAGTCTTTCCAGAAGATGATCTGATACCAAAAATCTAGAAGAATGAAACAAACTATATCTCAGCCCCATGTCAGTCTAGAGGGTGCTGGGAAAAAATACCTGATATGTAGAATGGGCAGGGGTCTCTGATAGACGCCAGGAGAGCACTATGGTGCTACTAAAGGATATAGTCATGGCTGTGACCAGGCTTACATTTCTTTGAACAGCAATGACTGTGGATAGTAAAGCAGACAGTTGTACTCACCTTCACAGTCACCGCCACACTCACACTCACGGTAATGGTCAAGTGGCAAGGATCGAAGGTATAAAAATTCCATGAGCTTCAGGGTGTGTAGGTGGCTCGGTTGGTTAAGCATCCAATTCTTCATTTCGGCTCAGGTTATGATCTCAGAGTTGTGAGATCCAGCCCCGCATTGGGTGCGGAGCCTGCTTAAGATTTTCTCTCTCTTTTTCTCTCTGTTTTGCCCTCTGCCCCTCCCTCCACCACACTCTCTTAAAAAAAAAATCCACGAACTTCATTAACTTCAAATGAGCACATAACCCACTCTATCCCACTTTATCACCTCTTGCCATTCCCATGACCAAAGCAAACCAAAGCATCCCACACATTCTATAATTATGCCTTCATCCATCCATCTATCCATTCATTTATCTACCCGTTCACAAATTACCCACTATGTGTCAGGCACTATACTTGACCAAAGTTAGTAAGATACATAATTACATGCTCAAAACAGTCCTTCCTCTTAGCTAAGTGGAACAATGCCCTGCACATAGTATCATCAAAAATTGGCTGAATAAATGAATGAGCTCACAGTTTATTAGGAGAAATGAGACACAGGTCAAAAATAACTCAAGCATAAGGCAGAATGTTGTTAGTATCCTGAGAGAGATGCAGAACTGTGTGAGTTCAAAGAAGGGAAGAGCCCTGAAGAAGTCAGGAAAGCCTTCATAGAAAAAGTAATGATACATGCATTGGCCTTTAAAAAACAAGTTGGATTATAACAGCAGGTGTGATGGGGGAAGGAATGCCAGAGGGGATAGCATGGACAAAGTTTGGGGATGTCAGTGGTTAGAGCTGGAAAAAAAGCAAACAGGTTGTGTGGCAGAGACTTGGCAGGGCTGGAGTGGGGGGCTCCTTTGGGAAGAGTGACCAAGGAACACATCTCAGAGGATGCATATGACGCCACCATGGACCAGTCGCCAAACCTCCAATCTGCGGTCAAAATAGGGACCCATTAATTGACTGCCAAAGAATGACCACAACTGAGAATGGGGGTTCATTTCATGCCCACACACTTCAAGGATCCATAAAGATGAAAAATGGCTTGAGAGAGAGGTGAGAAGAGGCGGTAAGGGTCAGGGAAGGACTAAAGGGCTGCATCAGTCAGGGTAAAGCTCAAGATGACAGGACACCAGCACAGAGAATGAGAGGGTGGCAAGGAAGTGAGGGAGGAAAAGTTGGAGAGCCAACACACCTACGAGAGGCAACAGATAATGAGGGAGCCACTCAGGAGAAAGACATAGCCCCTGCCTTCTATATACCCTGAGTTACCTATAGCGTATGACATCAAGTCGCTGCAATGGTAAACTGGAAATTAGAAAACTACTTACTAGCCATGTGACCTTTGAGAAGTCATTTCACTTCTCTGAGACTCAGATCCCTGTTTGTAAAATAGAGATGAGTAATACTCATCTCTCCATCTTGTTCTGACTGCTCAACTAAAGTGAGGCCCTGCCCCTGCCCCAATTTCATTTCCTATACCATGTTTCAGGTTATGTTCCCCACAGTACCACCACCCTTTAAGTAGGGTGACCAACCATTCCAACTTTGCTTGGGACTAAGACATTCCAGGGCCAAGGAACTTCCTGTTTTAAAACCAGGACAGTTCCATGGGGGAAAAGACAGTCCCTTTAATAAAGGGTTGCTGGGAAAACTGGAGAGCTACATGCAAAAGAGTGAAACTGGACCACTTTCTTATACCATACACAAAAATAAACTCCAAATGGACCTAAATGTGAGACATGAAACAATAAAACTCCTAGAAATAAACACAGACAGTAATTTCTTTAACATCAGCCACAGCAACATTTTTCTAGATATGTCTCCTAAGGCAAGGGAAACAAAAGCAAAAATAAACTATTGGGACTACACCAAAATAAAAAGCTTTTTTTGCACAGTGAAAAAAAATCAACAAAATGAAAGGACAACTTACTGATTGGGAGAAGGTATTCACAAAGGATATATCCTATGAGGAGTTAATATCCAAATTATATAAAGAACTTATATAACTCAATATCAAAAAAACCAAATAACCTGATTTAAAAATGCAAAGAGGACCTGAATATCATTTTCCTAAAAAATACTTATGGATGGCCTACAGACATATGAAAAGATGCTCAATATCACTCATTATCAGGAAAATGCAAATCAAAACCCAAATGAGATATCATTTTACACATGCCAGCATGGATAAAATAATAACAATTTTAAAAAGACAACAAATTACAAGTGTTGGCAAGGATGCGGAGAAAAAAGAACCCTCTTGTGTTGTTGGTGCAGCCACTGTAGAAAAGTATGGAGGCTCCTCAAAAAATTAAAAATAGAAATACCATATGACCCAGTAATTCCACTACTGAATATACACCCAAAGAAAATGAAAACACTAATTGGAAAAGATATATACACTCCTATATTTATTGGAGCATCTCTTACAGAAGTCAAGATACGGAAGCAACCGAAATGTCCACAAGATGGGGATATGAGTATTACACATCTCTATTTTACAACCAGGGATCTGAGTCTCGGAGTATATGAAGAATATTACTCCTCCATAAAAAAGAATGAGATCCTGTCATTTCCAACAGTGTGGATGGACCTAGAGAACATTATACTAAGTGAAATAAATCAGACAAAGATAAATACCATATGATTTCACTTACATGTGGAATCTAAAACAAATGAATAAACAAACAAAGAAGCAGAAACAGGCCCATAAATACAGAGAACAAACTGATGGTTGCCAGAGGGAAGGGGGGAAAAATAGGTGAAGGGGAGTAGGAGATACCATCTTCCAGTTACAGAATAAGTCACAAGAATAAAAGGCACAACATAGAGAATTCTAGTTAATGGTATTCTAATAGTATTGTATGGTGACAGGTGGTGGCTACACATGTGAGCATAGCATAAAGTCTAAATGCGTGGAATCACTGTGTTGTGCATCTAAAACTAATGTAACATTGTGTCTAGTTCAACTGTACCTCAATTTTTTTGAAAAAAAAGACAATTTCAAGTAAACAGACAAGTTGGTCATGGTATTTCTAAGATTCTTTATTTTGTCTTCTTTGTTTACTTCTGTACTTTCTATCTCCCCAACCAAATTATCAACTTTCTGAACATAGAGACTTCCTGCCTTTTTCATGGCTACGTCTGTAGCATGGGTGGGTTGGGGTTGTAGGAAAGGGAGAGAAGGAGAGGAACAGATCCTATTGTGCTTTGGAGTATTTCAGCAATTGTGGGCAACACCCCTCTTTTATTGGCTTTGAAAGCCTGCTTCCAAGATCATTCCCTTTTTATTACAAGATGATAATTTCCTATCTGTTATAGAAGCCCACACCTTGGTGAGAAGCCCAGGACTTTGTACACTGCTAAGTGGAGAAAAGGTGGGGGGGCCAGGGGACTGGTTCAAGGAGAAGTTGGGGAAGGTTCCTCTTGGGGCCTCTGGCGGAGTAGGAGGAGCACGAGCCCAGTCCCATAGGTGAGTTCACCTGCCAGTCCCGTTGAGTAGCACAGTGTGTGGGGGCCAGGCTGGGCAAAGGTAAACAGGAAAAGGGAAACCACAAGGACAGAGGGCTGGGTGAGGCTAGGGCTGCTTTAACTTTAAATAGTCAGCCCAGACCTATGCAGAGCCAATCCCTGCCAGGCTGGGCTTCGGGCTCCAAGGAAGCAAGACCATGGTAGGGAAGATGTTGCCTGTGCTGTGGACGCTCTGCGCAGGTGAGTGGGCCGCTCCCCTGTCCAGCGCTCAGGGGTGGGTGAAACAAGGGGACTGAGTGTTGACCGTCTCCCAGAGCCTCCCCAGGGGTGACCTCCAGGGACAAAGTTGCATCCCTGCTGGGCAGAATTACAGGTTCTGTTATGCAGGCAGTAGGTTCTAGGCCAGCACCCAGTAAGAGAATGGTTTGTATATGCATGTTAATAAATAAAATTCCAGCCCATTTCTGGACTGGATAATTCATACATTTTCAAGACCATTAATTCTGATCCCAAATCAGATCATAAGTTCTGACACAAGATCTGACAACAGGGACTAGGTATTTGAAATCAAGTTTGTCCTGGAAAATCCCAAATGTGGGGTTCTAGATATGTTCACTCCCTAGGATTCTGGCATTGCTTTAAAACCAGAGAAAAAGGCAATGGTAAAAGTGATAACTTCTCCATCACATGTAAAGAAACCAAGGCAGAGAGAAAATGCAACTTAAAATCATTCCCAGAGCAAGAGAATACTCAAACCTTTCAAAAACCAAACTAGAAAGGCCCTTTCCAAAGGTTAAAGCTCCTCAGCCCTTCTGATACTCCAGTCATTGAAAACTTGGAAGATGGGGAAGCCCTACAAAGTAGAAACTAAACATTTGTTGATATAATGATTAAATCCAAATCAAGTGTTATTAAATAGTAAAGTTGTTGCGTGGT